TGGACATTCCTTACTCGAGTGCTCCAGCTTACTTTGGAGCCATCTAAGACTCAGATAATTCTTTTCTTTCTCTCTGTTCAGCACGCCCAGCAAGACCCTTTTATTGCCGTTTCCAGCAGAACAACAGAAATAATGAGCAGCTACAACAGCTCTGACCTTGGCCTCAGAAAATGTGTCTCATTGCTCAGCCAGTAGTTTATCTGGCACATTTTTGGGGTGATTTTCCACAATCCCCCTGAAAGCACTGTCTATACAGGACTCACAGACAGGCTCACAATTTCAGCACCTCCGCATATCACCAGAATGCCTCTCTTCTGACTGAGCAGCTTTATTACCATGGAGGCAAAATTGTGTCACTGACACACTACTGCACGGAATTAGATGTTTTACTTCAATCAACTCCATGGGCAGAAGATGCTTCAGTCTCAAGATCGAGTTAAAAGACTGAGTAGCTCTCAAATAATTCCAAGCAGCACTTGCTTTCTTGAATTTCTTTTTCTTGCATCAATGATTTTGATTAGGAATTGTTTTCTTGCACTAACAGATTTTGCTTTCTTTTCTTATTTTAACTTCTTCTGAATATAGGTCCCCAGTAAATTTGATATTATACAGCACATTCAGAAATGAAACTAGGCTACAGCAACCTAACCACCAGCATTCTCTTGCCTTCAGTGTTAGATGAATGAATATTCTCTTGAATACTATTATGCAACTATGTATTAGTATACAAATAACCCAGAGAGGTTTCGGCACACTTCAAAGTTGCTCAGAATTACTGACTGTCTTGTTGGCCATTCATTTGTCAAGTATGTCATTGCTTTTGTCAAGGCATACTTTGGAAATTAAATAGATACTCTGCTGAAAAGCTTTAGCTATTGCTTTAACATTTTTAACAAGTTAAAATGTTGTTAAATCAACTTGTATTGAGTTTATCCTTTTTCTTTACATTACAATTGCTTGTAAATCTTTCCTTCACCCTTGAGAAGGTAATTTTGATTTTTCTGTTTTCTGTCTTGTGAAACTTTTGGCTCATATTGAGCTGACAGAATCAGCACGGGTTTTAGCTTAAAACACCCTGTGTTCTGAGGCTGTGCTTACCCTGATGGAGCTGTAAGAGTAACAGTGGTGTCATTGTAGGAACAATGGCCTCCAGTCTGAAATGGAACCAAAGTTAGCTTGGCCCAACCTGGGGGAGGTGAAAGAGAGGCAAAGATGGGTCACTCCACACCTCTCAGGCAAAAGGAGTGGTCTGAGAACAGTTTGAGATTCCTGGAAGACCTACACAGGCATGTGCTGTGCCTTGATGGCTCTCCTACATGTGAGCTCTCAGCTCCTCTCTTCCCTCTTCAGTCTGTATGGTCACGTTCCTGCAGAGCTCTGCACCAGACACTTTGGACAGGTGATACAACCATTCCTACCAAGTGCCTAAGGGAGTGGGACACCTCTACAGCCTCCCCTGTCTAACATGGGCTGTGCTGAAAGCAGGACCTCCTCCACTGTCAGTGGCATCCTCCAGACTTCAGCTGTGACAACTCAGTGGAACCAGACTTGTTTCAATCTATCAGTGCTGGCACTTGAGCCACCCTGGTGACAACACAAATGCACACTCACACCCCTGACCCTGCTGGCACAGGAGGCCTCAAAAAACTCCCAGGAACCCATCTACTGAGAACTTGCCAAGCTAAGCAACAGAGGCTCCTACAAAGGCTTACAATAAAACAAGCCAGCAGTGGCATGAACACAAAGCAAATGTGCCTCAACCAAACCAGCACAGCTTATGCAGAATGCTGAAGTGTGCCATCTGTGTCAATTTTGGCAAGCTGGCTAAAATTCAAGTAATTCAAGTCAATTTTTCTGGTCTATGTGTATTGTGCACACTGATACACGCCCACTCACACACTTGCTTAGTACACTGCTGCTACAGAACCAAGGTGGGCAGAGTGGGATCCTGCATGTATCCCTAAGAGATCTTGGCAAAACAGCAAATACAAAAAAGAAAAAAAAGAAGAAAAGGAAGGAAAAAGCAAAGGCTGTATTAACAACATCAAGTGAAACAAGCTGGGGTAAGTTAGATGTTGAAATACTTTGCAATTTCCTGTTAAAATCAGTTCAGACTGGACTTTGAAAAGGACCCCAACTGTGGTTAGTAACAGTCACACATAGAAAAGCAGCCTTCGAATTCTCTTACTGCCACACAAAATACACAAGTCTGCATAACTATGCAGACTTTTGCCTCCATTTTATTTTCAACATATTTATAGACTATTCCCTAGGCTGTGAAGAAGCTATGACCATTCTACAAGGTTAAAAAAAATCTCTAGCAAAAAAGTAAAAGAAGTTGTGTAGGCTTAGAGGCAGTAAACACTTTTTCCTTCTAAATTTCATTCTGTGCTAGACACTGCAGCACCAGAATTTCAAGAGAAAGCACTGGTAACATCCAAAAATTAGCAACAATTCAGGCTGCACAATCTCTTCAATATTCCTGAGTTTTAGTCCTTCTGTCTTACAGCAGAACAGCTGTAACATTATCTTCTATTTCCTTCCTATGATTTCCATAGCATGTTCTTGTCATGTATTAGAATTGTGTCACTCACATATACATACAACAATAAAAGTTGGGGCTTTTTTAGTTTGCAAGCACAGCAGACAGCCCTTAACTTTACAGTAAATGATGAAATGTTTCTTTCTTGCTCTCTATCACATCCTCTACTTCTTGGTAAAGGGGACTGAGGAAGAGAGAACAAAACTTGTAACGTTTCCTCTTCACAACCACAACCACTCAGAGGCCCAGCACACAACTTAGTGTGATATATATCTAACCCAAATGACCTTACCTTTGCCCTGTGCCAGCATAAGGGTTCTCCTTCTCAGTAAGACTACAGCCACTAGCTACACCAACACTAGTGCAGGAATGTTTACAGATTTAGCATAAAGAAATCCTTATCAAAAAATAGTTACTGCCAACAGTTTGTACTAGGAGAACTGAATGCTCATACAAATGGACCTGTGGGTACAAATACTGTCTGAGAAGAGATGAAAGAGATTTGTAAAACTGTTTAGGTCTCCCTATTTTATTTGGTGCAAGAGTAAATCTAGAACTAATGTATCATGGTTATTTCTACATGCTACAGCACAAACATTTGGTTTTCTTATGGAATTATTTGACAAGACGCTATTGTGATATGTGATACTGCCAGAAGTTCATTTGCCCAAAGTTCCTTGAATACCTGAGGTAACTCCTACTGATGTGTACAGGCAAGATAAAAAGCAGAAAAATATAAGAAGGCAAAGCTGAAAGAGTGCAAAGGAAAAATAATTTAGATTATTTTAACTTCTGTCAAAGTCACCACAGAGAGCCACTTGCTAAATTTGGATGAATTTTAGATTGAATTGCACTGATAAAATACGACTTTATGCAAAGTACGTGAAGCATTACATAAAATTACATAGATTTACATCCAGCACATGAAAATATGTAAAGCATGTAAAGAATGCACGCACTTAATACATGCAGCAGAAAGTGACATTACAGCACGAGTAACCATGCTGTGGTAGCTTTAGGAGTCACACCTCAGAGCTGTAGAGACACCACAGCAGGATGGAGGGCAGAGAGGATTAGTTATTTCTAGTTCCATAAAAGGAACTGTTCTTTCCACAGTGGTGAAAGCAAATTTCAGCTCATCAGCAGAGCACAAGTCTACTGTTTTAGGGCTATGGGTTCAGTTGCAATGTAGACACGTGCCCACTTGTCTCTTCCTGAAAAGATTCCCCAGCTCCACTCACTGGTTTGGGAACAACCCAAGCCAGAAGAAGGCAGCAGACAACTCTTTGTGCTCCTACTGCACAGAATTCTTAGTGAGAGACAGCTCACGAGCGCAGGGCAGATGCTCAGCAGGTGGAGGCAGCCACAACCAGTCATGGTCAATTCATCTCTTGCTACTGAGGGTCATTTCTAAGGCCAGCTGACAGCTAATAATGAACTGGAAGAAACTGGGCAGCTTTTGAAGAGAAACTCGGGGATTTGATGCTACTACTCAGAACATAATGAATCCTAACTTTGAATGCCAGTTTAGAAATCTGGGTGCTAATAACCTACACAACTTCTTAAAAATGACTGGATGAATACAGGCAGGGGGAAAGAAGGCACTGGGAGCTTACAAAAGATGAAAGTAACAACGTCAGGATAAAACGCTGTCACAAGTTTTTGCAGGATGAAAACGTACCTGTGGAGGTATCGGTACATGATGTCTTTCATGCCTTTTCCTGGGCATTATCACTGCCACTACTGTAATTAAGCTGACAAATCATCCCACAGATAGTTATGGGCCATAAAAACGAGAAAGAGCTTATCCATCTGTTAATCTTCTCCACATCTGCATGGAGCTGAATTTCATGAACCGATTTAAGGCATCAGCTCAAATCCTGGCAGCGTTCCACCATCAACTACTTTTGAATTTCAGCCCAACATCTCCCACATCCCTCCCAGTGTCATTGCGGGAGGTCTCTGACAGACAGGGCACGGAGCCAGCAGGAGCTGCAGCCTCAGAGGGGGTGCCCACCTGTACAAGGTCGCTATGGGCACCGGCACTTGGCCCCGCTGTCTCCTAAAAACTTACCCACGCTACGGAATGAGGGGTCGCACTGCAGCACGATGTGCCATCGCATCACGGCGCTATCGCTGTTAAAAGTTAACACTGCTCCTTTGGGCTCGTACACGTCCGTCTGGTCAGAAGCGCTCATTGCTGCCTTAGGAAGAGGCGAAGGCAGCTTCCGACAGAAGACGCTTCGCTCTGCCAGAGGAACGTGGGCTTTCCGTGCTGCTGGGAGCTGCGAGAGCCGAGGGGCCGAAGCCGCCCGGAGGCGCGGCCCCAGCGCTGCCCGACGGCGCTCCGCGGACGCGCCGCCGCAAGAACCGTGCGCCGGGGATGGGCTCGATCCCCGCCATCCCCGCCGGCCCCAGCAGAGCCCCGGCAGCGTCCCCCGCCCCGCTCGCCCCTTACCATCTGGGCCACCTTCAGCATGCCGGCGCAGGAGCGGAAATAGCCGCCGTCCATGAGCTCCGCGTCCGAGCCCGCCGAGGAGGAGGCGACGGTGACGGGCGGCGGGGCGGCGGGGCCCCCGCTGCTCACCCCGGTGCGGATCACTCGAGCCCCGTGCGACATGGCTGCGTCCGTGCTGCCCTCGCCGCTGCCCGGCCCGGCCCGGGGAGCGGGATGGGACGGGATGGGATGGGACGGGGCGGGGCGGGGCGGCGGCGCCCCGGGGCTGGCAGGGCCGGGCGGAGCGCGGCGCTTCCCCGCCCGCCCAGGCTGCAGCCCGGCCCCGGCGGCCCCGGGCGGCGGAGGCCGAGGGGGAACCGCGGGGGTTTCCCTGCCGCGGGGGAGACGCCGCCGCACCCAGCCGGGACAGCGGGGTCCGGGACAGCCGGGAGCGGCGGCCGCAGCTGCCTTACATGGAAACAGGCCGGAGGGAGGCTGCCCGAGCCGGGAGCGGGACGCCCCAGCGGGGAGAGCTCGGCGGGGACAGTGACAAACCCCGCAGCGCGTCCAAGTTTGGTGGCGGTGCGCTGGGAGGGGACCCGCTCCCGTCCTTTGCTGTGGAGGTACAGCTGCAAACAGCGCCTTCCCACAAGGCACTCGTTCTTGCCAAACATTACCCCCCCCTTCCTCTGATTCTCGACCTCATAAAAGATAAAAACCATTTGCATTAAATGGGCAGCAACAGGTAAAACTGTAATGACTGTCCAGATGTCTCAGGGCCGGTGTTTGAATTTAATCATCCAGCGATACTAACGAAACGCAGCAAAGGAAGCTATATATTTCCTCAAGTTTAAAAATAACTTGTTCTGCATTCTGACAAGTGAGGTAATAGCGGGGCCTCTGAGCTGGGCATGTGCCACTTTTGTACTCACTGGAGTAGTAACCCCGTCTTCTGCTGCTCTGTTCTGCAGTTATGATGCAGATTCTGTTCATATTTAGTATTTAATAAGTTCCTTCAGCAGCTAAAATTGTCCTGAGAGGGAAGACGTGTAAGCTCAGATGACCCCCAACACACATAAAGTCCCAGTGTAAGCAATTTATTGAGCAAAATGGGTTTGCCAGTGTGGGCAATGGTCCCTACTAGAGTAAGCAGTATATAGTTCTGGACTTCTATTAAGCCATCTTGTGACTGCAATAAGAGGTATTACCTGTCCCACCACATTTTATCTCATGTCGTTAGGTATCAAAGCCACAACACTGGCTACCACCACAAGGGTAAAATGCTAGCTGCTGAGGAAAAAAATTAAAATCTGTTCCACTTTTAAACAGCTGCTTTTTTTCTTCCTCTTCTCCTTACAGTTCCCATTCAGAAGCATGCATAGCTATAGGTTTCTATAAGCCCTGTGGAGGAAGGTTCCAGTAACTTCTTCACTTCCTATTTAGAAAATACAGGGGTTTTACATGCTGGTTAAGCTTCTTTATTTCTTTTGAAAATGTGTGTGTGACTGGGGCCCTGCTGACCTGAGTTCAGGACAGCGAAACAGAAATAAATTAATGCAAGTAGAATAACAGACATATTTTCTACCCAGCAATACAGCCATCTTCTGTTAAGCACTGAGAAAAGTCAATCAACTCTACTTCATTTGAAGTTTTTAATACAGTTCTCATGCTACTTACTTTGTCTTGTTAAGTACATTGTGTATGATGATGAAAAAAGGTACTGACAACTCCTTAATAAATGAAAATTAATGGCCGTAAGTTGACACCGAGTACCCTTACATATGTAACTTAGATTTTTCAGACTGTTTGTCTGACACTAATTATTTATAAGTCAAATACCTTCATTTTGCAAGTTTATTAGCAGTTTGTTTATTCTTCTAAATATCTGTATTAAGAATTTCACTAATGACTTTACCACTTACCAGTTGTTCTTTTAAGGCTTCTTTGAACCTTACGAATACTAACCTACAGCAGATACAAGCCTTGTTTCAATTGTTATATGATAAACCACAGCTAGGTTACCTTCTTTATCAATATTAGAATATACAAGTGCATTAACTCATAGTTTGCAGATCAGTATTTGAGACTAGTGAGCTGGAAGATAACCTTTCGGGTGCACACGCCTTTCTTCAGGCCTGAACTTGGAGGAGCAAATTCCAAAAGGAATGCTCAGCTTGTGCTGATTCCTCCTAATTTTAACTAGATATTCAGAATATTTGAAAAACAAGACAGTTGGTATCTGGACAACTGATGAGAAATTAAACAGATGAGAAAGAACATGGGAAGTAAGATAATTTTCTTCCTGAAAGGAAAGAGCAAGGCAGGTAAGTCATGGTTTGTGAAGAAAAAAAAAAAAAAAAAAAAGCAAGGCAAAGTACAAAGCAAATTTTTGCCTAGTATGTTGTTTTGTTTTGTTTTTGTTTTTTTTAAATTCAGAATTAAGGATTCAACTCACATATTTGTCTTTGGATGTCATTCTGCAGGTTTTTCCCTTGAGGATGAGCATTGAAGTTTCAGAGAGCATGCAGATATTTTGCCAGAATCACTACTTATCTGCTTTTATCTTACATTAAAGGGCTTACTCTGACATGTAACACAGTTGCCATGACAGTTTTAGGTAAACTGGATGAAACAGAACTTCCTCTAAGCTCTACTCCCTCTTACTACCTCTGCCCACAAATGAGACAGAGGGTTTTGAGTTTAGACTGGACCATTGCAGTTACTACAAAATCTTGAAATGTTTGTGCAAACACAGTCACATCCTTTGGAGTTGAAATAGATACATAAAATATCAATTAAGAAAGTCTCCTATTGCCACATTACCACAGAAGCTTTTTTACTGATAAGACATCTCTGATGAAATTTTAATTGCAGCTATATTTCTAGTCACACTTTATCAGTTGGCACTTGGATCATTTCAATGCCTTTGATTCCTTTTTTTTTTTTTTTTTTTTCCCAGTGATGGAAAAGAGCATACAGGATTTTAATGACACATTTTATCTGTGGAGATAAAATGCAGAGTTGGTAGCCATTCTTCCTTCTCACAACTGGATAAATTTAGCAACCAGCAGAAAGTCTGACCTATGTTGTGTAGGCCAAATGCAATTTGCAGACAAGTATAGGTTTTTAAATAATATCTTGCCTTCCCTTACACTGAAATCTTATGACTGACAGATAATCAAGAAGAAAACCATGTGATCGAGATGGGAATTAGCTGTCTGCTGATAAATCTTCTGCAAGGCACATATGTAAGTAACCACACACCATTTAGTTATAAGGAGAGATAAAGAAGGTTTTTTTCAAGCAGTAAGTTTTCTCTACTACCATATATTATTAACCAAATAAGCTTTTGAAGACTAGAAAGGAGTTCAAATCTTCTTAATCCAAGAATAAAAGCTTCACCAGTAGTTTTAAATGAGGAAAACTTTAAATAACACCATAAAATAATCACAAGCTTTCACTTACCACGTAGTTCCTGGAAAAAAAAATCCTTAGGTAATTTGTATTTGAAAGTAATTTTCAAAGGTATCTGCTTTGAAAGTCATATCCTGTCATACTTCTGCTTGATTCAAAGTTATTTAAATAGGAATACCAGCTTCATTTGTTAAACTAACAAGTTAGAGATGATGCCAGTAGACAGTACAGGAGGGAGGAAATTCCTTGCTTGTAGCACTGGTGTCCTGACAATTCTTCTGTGGCTTTAATCTTTATATCATTTAATAGGATTTAGAAGCCCAGATTTTACTAAGAGAGATTAAAGATTCTGAGGAGAAGAAAACCCAAACAAGCACAATCTGCTGAGAAACAAGAAGTGTTACCTTTAGCCAGAGATTTGTGACACCCTCAGTAAGGTTAAGCACCGAGCACTAAGGGGGTGCTGTCTGGGCTCATGCTTTGGAGCCAGTTGCATCTGAGAAACCTGTGAAGATAATGTGTTCCAGGCACAAGATTTCTTCAGCTTCGGAGCTGAGCTTCAGACCTACAGGAACAGGTTCCAAAAGCCACCTTGCAATGTGAGAAGCTGTTAGATTTAGCACTGACAGGATCATCAGAATTGTTGGTAGTATATATTAAACCCTGAAAAAGAAATTAAAAAAGCAACCTTCTACTCCCAGTTTACAAAACATGTACAGTTGGATCATTTATTTATTATTTTCTTTAACTTTCAGGTGTTTTTTCTGCACAATGTCACTTTTCACACAATAATTATACAATATCAATCTTAGTTTTGGTAGCATTCAGTATCAAAAGTATACCTGTAACATTTAAAAAGTTACATTTACAAATGTGGCACATTGAATAAGATTTATTAAAGTTTAGTAGTAACAACTACACAACATCTAGAAAAATACCATGTTAATTTTAAAAGAAGCAGTATGAAATTTTATTATATAGTACAAAGTCAGGGTTAAATGTCTCTAAACACGGCATTATTATAAATAATAATTTGATCTCAGTTTATATTGTGTCAATTCTAACAGAAATGTTCAAAAATACCTCATCCCTCTTCCAAGCTTTTATCAAAAGTGAATAATCCTCAAGGTGCTTTACACTACAGAATTCACTTTAACAAAGTATTTACTGCAAAGTTCGTGATCGCCAAGATATAAAGCTAAAATATGTATTTCCAGCATAGCAGGAGGTAACCACGAAGGCAAAGAACTGTAGAGAGAGAGAGGGAAAAAATATGTTAGGAAATAAATACAATCGAGAACACTGTAATTTCTAAGGAAAAAAAAACAGTTATGGGACTTGGGGGAAAAGGAAAGTAGCAAGCTGACTAAAATGGCACACTCTCACCTCCTTGTACTTGTGTGGCCATTGCAGTCAACACTGTGTAAAAATAAGCTTATACTATGCATAGAAATATAGGCTTGAGCAGACAAAACATGACGAATTTCAACTTTTTTAATAAATTCCTCATTATACTGCCTCAGTACGGATCTTACAGATTGGACTTGGCACTTTTAGAGGCTGAGGAATTGTCTGTGGGACAATGTGAGCTCAAACTAACACTGCTGCCCTGCTGCTGTGATCCAGATACTGCCTACAGCCCACCTGTAGGGCTCACAGTGCATCTGTTTGCTTGCAGAGAAAGCTTGGATTCAAATGCAGGCCCAGGCATGTTCTCAAACAGCACTGCTGATTACCTTACCAATTCCAGAGTCCTCTACTGATGAATAAAGATATTCCTCAGTGACAGCAGCCGCACTATCATATCACTCCTCTGTCAGAAATTGGTAACAGAATAAGCCTTCCATAGCAGGCTAGATTTATTTCACTTCTACTGATAAAGTCCAATTCAGCACCAGTGCTTAAGTTCCTGTTAATCACTGCATGCTGTTCCAAACAGGCAATATTAAATATGGTCTTAATGACAATACCAGAATGTTTTGTGCTGGTAACTGAATCCAGTAAAGCTGTGACTGCAAATATGATTAACACCACTTTTCTAAGAGGTGAGCAATGATAGGACAAGAAAGAACAAACACAAGTTATAGGACAGGAAATTTCAAGAAGATATTAGGGAAAAAAAACCCAACAACACAGTGTGAGTAATCAAACAGGCACACAGGCATTGTGGAATAGCCATATTTGGAAATACTCAAATTCAAGTGGACAAGGCCCTGGTAGCCTGATATGAATTAGCCCTGCTATAGGAGTGGAGAGAGTTGGACCAGATGACCTCCAAGAAGTCCCTTTCAGCCTAAAACTATTTTATGATTCTACAGTTGTTCCTGGCTTATATGGCATCACTGGCATGGGTAAGCCCTGCTGAGCATTCATCCAGGCAGTAAATCTAAGCCTTTCAGCAGAGGGCTCTTGGTGAGCCTTGTCTAATGCAAATTTAATCTGTAACACCAAAAAACTGTAGATGATGATGTAAAATCTTATTACAATAAAAAAATGTAGTATTCTTCTTTTTTCAATCATTTTGTTTCTTATTAAATAAAAGCTCCATCTAAAATCTTTCTAACAAAATGACTATTGGGGATAGATGATTTGCTAAATCCTCTATCCATGAAACCCTTAATGGATTTTGAAAGCAAGAATCCACATTTAATAGTTTATTTAGACACTGTGTTAGATAAACATTATTAGGAAGTATTAGGAGAGAATCCAGACCTCCCATGAGACACTGAACATTCATGCATTTTGCATAAAACCTGAATCAGCATGGAAGCTTATCTAGCAGCAAGCAAGTTCCTGTCAGCTGCAGTGGCTGAGTAACAGATCCGTAGCTACAAACTGCCAAGAGGAGAAGACCCTGAGTACCACTGAAATGGCAGGGATTTAATCATCCAATTCCCAGGACAAAAACAGAGCAGGTGTTTGAGTTCCTGTGTTCATGGCCATATAAAATAAGCTTCAGACAGGATTTGTGAATAGTCAGAACAGCTGCAGAAGCATGAACACTCAATAATTTGGAATTCTTGTATACAATTGAATTTGACTCCTGTCGCCACAACATGAAAAACGTTCTTTTACAACTCCCTTACTTTTGCTAGTGAATGCATTCACCTAACTCAAAAAGTGGCAAGGCTCTTTTTTGATCCTTTTTTGTTTTTAAGTTCTTTTTCATCCACTTTGACTGTTTTGGATTTCTAAATCTAAGATAGCAACGTTAGACAAATTACTGATTTCATCACATTACATGATTTTTCAGGTGTTGCCCTTACAACTCAAAGGAAAGACTATCAAAGGTTGAAGCCATAACAGGAATACCATTGTGGAAACAGCAAAAGCATTCCAGGGCCTTCCCCACGGTGCTGGGTGGGCAATGTGGACAATGGCTCAGCCCACAGAAAGCTGAATGCATCTTATCCATAAGTATGCAAAGTTAGCTGAGTTAGTTTAAACTGCTTCTGAAGTTGTCCAAGTGCATTGAGGTGACTCATTGCTCACACAATCTTTTTTGTCTGCTCTGATGTGCAGGCTCTGACCTCAGCCAGAGCGCCTGTAATAAATGGGGGCAAGGGAGGAAATCAGCGTGCTCTTAAAAATGTTACTGCCTTTTCTGATGTGAACGTCATCTCCTGGTGGAATTTCTAATCACCTCTAAAAATTATGTAACAAATTGTAGCTACGTATAGTTTTTGTGTATCACTCTGCAGCTTTTCAACATGCAGAACACCTGCAACTTCAATCCACGCTTCCAATGAGCCTTTATTTGATCTAACTTTATTGGATGCAGAATTGATTTAAACAAGAAATGAACTCACTGAAGAAGCTGCCCAGCTGTTGTAATTGTGATTGTCCAGATCTTTGGTAACTGAAGATGCGTCCACAATGGCAGCAATGAGATACAAAACAAAGGCACTTCCATTAAAACACAGACCCTGATGAAAAGACAAACATAAGTCATTAATATGCACAGGCATTTGTTTTCCAGCATTACAAAACTCTATTCTGAAACACACTGAACACATGCAACGTACACTAGACATGTCATTCTTAACTATTTTTGCCTTCTTCCACATTTCTATCTGTAAAATTAAAATTTAACTGCTTTGAAGATGTATAAAAATTGGACCATATTTTGGACAAACTGTTCTCTCCATCACACTAAATCCAGAAAAGTCTTAAAGTTGGTGTGCTCTGATTTACCAAAAGTGAAAATAAGGACTCAGTTTGGTTACCACAATCTAAGGGTTAGGCAGTAAAAATATGACACTACATGATAAAAAACAAAACAAAAAAGAGAAACAAGATGAAACTGCACTTTGATTACATTTCTAATCTATACCAATATAGGAATCAGTAACTCCTGGCATGGAGAATATTTAAAAAGCCTCCAAAACTTTGTTTTCTACACTACTGAAGGAGATAAAGAAGGTGACATTTTTTTTCTCAGTTGCATTCTTCCATCTCTCAGTACCTTTCCCTTCTGCCTGTTTTTAAGAGGAAAAAGAAACAGGTAAATCCAAGGAGAACAGTCTGAACAGACTACATGGGTCATCAAGACCCATGGCAGAAGCTGCGTTTTTCAAGAGGCAAATTTAATGTCCCAGGGTACTTATATTTATTATTAAGAAAGAAGCAAAGCAGGTAAGAATGACCTCACATAACACTACAGAGAGCAAACAAAAAGTTTGTTTGATTTTTGCATGTGAGAAAGAACAGGAAAGGAAGAGAGAACAGATGTCTAAGAAGATGAAAGAGAAAAATGTATGAGGGTTTTTTTAAACTACATGATTTTAATACTTTGTCCTTTACTTTCTCACTACTTGGTCATGGAAGTTTCTTCTAATTAAAAAAACAAGTTAAAGCCCCTCAAAGTCTGCTCTGCTACTTGTCTAAGGCACACAGATTTGGTGCCATGTTTCAGTGGAATGCCTGTGACATGCTTTGCATCTAGTTAGAATTGCAGGGATTGGTAACTCAATATAGACCTGGTCCTAATGCTGCACATAATCAGCTCCCTTCAGCTTCTGACCCCAGTTTTGCACTCCAGAGTGTCACACAAATATAACCCTCAGCTCTGTTGCTCCACTTGTCTAAATGCTGCCATACTGGTGCAGCTCCAATTTACTTATTTGCACCGTGTTACTCAGTGGACGCTAGGAATTTATGCCAATTACCCACAATTTAATTCACTTTTCACCAATTTTGGCAAAATCTAAAAAAAGGCTGCAGAGAAGAAGAGAAGTTAGAGGGAACAGTGGAAAAATACCCACTTATCCTTCCGTAGGAAACTGGGCTGGGCAGTGCCTCAGCACTCAGATGGAGTCCAAGGACTGGTGATTGAGATTTGATTCACACACTTACGAATGAGTGCAGGTTCACCTCACCTATGTCAGTTTGCCTAATAAAAGGTACTACATCTATCCACAGATCTCACCCCTTGTTTTATCTGGGCATTACAGCAATAAAATATCAAACAGTTAATTTTAGGATGAGATGCCAACAATTGGCAGGTTCTGGTGAACTTCTGTAAAGCACCGATTTAGAAACTCCAAATTTGATTACCTAGAGTATTTTTGTTGTTATTTTCAGATTTCCCATTCCAAAAAGACTCAATTACCCTGGAAAGCTACAAATCCCTGCAATATCTTGTCATGTAGAAAAGAAAAAAGCACATAATTTCTGAGAAGTGCTGCTCTGGGAAATAACACTGTTGGGGAAGATGGAATGCAGTGCAAGCTGACTGGGCCTTTACTGCCAATATATTACTCAAACCAAATGGTTCATGCTAAATTACCATCTGCTTCTTAAATTCAAATTCACCAGATTTTAAAAGCTTCCATTGATTGTTTTAGCAAAAAACTTGCACTATGTAGGAGAGTCAGTTTTGAAGCACATCTTTTGGGTTAATTTGCAGTAGAAGTAACTGCACCTTAAGCAATTTGGTAATGTGCTTAACCTGCAAAAAGTGAATTTATGACGGAGAGGTCCAGATGTAATTTTGGATACTGCATACAATAGGAACAGTTTGAGCTTACTGTTGCTGAAGGAGACAGAGCAATAACTGGCAGATACTGAAATTCAGAATTCTTCAGAGAATAGGGTAAAGGTGGGTGTAAACTCACTCAAAAAGGTGTGTCATGGTCTTTCTAACAAAGACTTTAAAAGCAACTCTCTGAAAAGAGACTCAACGTTCCTCTTGGCCATATAGGAGCAGCAGAGGACCAATTCAAGGGCTGTCCCCAAAAGCTCTTTTAATACCTTAGGGCAAAACAAGCTGTAGCACAAGCATCTTTTATTTATTTTGTATTTATTTTCTCTTTATATGACCCTTTTATATAAAGGGAAACTACCTTTTGGATTTACATTGATGTTCGTCTACAATATATTTGGAACTCAGAGCAAGAAATATGAAATAGAGACAAATCAATTATTCTAGTATGTCTACCACATAGATCAGGGGCAACTCATTTATGTGCTGATGAAAGAAGGGTAATGACCAAAGCTTTATTCAAATGGATATAAAGATGCTTTCCCCTTGAATGTACTTTACTTACATGTAATGCAACGGGGAAAAAAAAACCAACCCACACCTTTAAGTGTACCCAGACACATTACTGCTATAATTGAAATAATCCAATATTTCTATAGCAGTGTTACAGCCTTAATGGTAATTGCTGGGTATGAAACTTGAAAATAGAGAAGCTATCTGAATATAATCCTGGTTGCTCTTATTAGCAATTGCTATAGCTGGCTATTTATTGCAGCAGCAAATGGGAACACTAAAAGAGAAGAGTATTCTAGTATTCAATTTTAGTCACATACACAATATAGCTGATAACAAGCTGTTAGCAACACAGAAGTCAAATACATTTCATCATAAAAATAACAGAATTCTAATCAATAATATTAGGCATAAAAAAACTCCAAACAGAATCTCACTGTATCCAACAAATGCAAAGACAAAATTTATATGGGTCACAAATAGCCAGTTGGCTGAAATGGCAGTGACTTTTAGGATCTACTATCCTGAAGACCAGGCTGTTATGCAAATGAGGTAAAAATATACTGTTGAGAGTTAGAGCTGGCCAGGTTTGCTCAAACCATAAAAACTGGATCTGCATTTTAAGTGCCTGTGAAATTTTTCTGTAATTACAGTAGCTGCTTATCTGATTTGCTTTAACTCTTGAGCTCAAAGCAAAGGATTACATGGTACATATTTTACATATATGTAATTTTCAGTACCATTTTCACAGTAGACTACATATGGATTGTCAGAGTGTTTCTACCTCTGAACTATCCTTGCTTTAACTTTAGCAGAGGAAGACTCATCTTTTAAGAGCCCAAGTCCTGCTTCTAATGCATGGTGTTGATTCCAGTAGGGATTTCTGCTGTTTAAGCCATATGGCCAGGTCTGTTAGCTCAGAGGCAGCAACAGACTCATTCCTCATGGGATGCGACCACTACAGAGATAAAAAGAGGTCACTGTGCATAAGTATCAGTCACACACACACGCATTGAAAATCAAGTCACTGCAACAACCACTGAACAAAATGGTGAAACATCATAGGAAAAGTTATGAAAAGTGTCTGTGTAGTATGAAAGTTAAACATTGCAGGTATGCAGCCACACAGTAATTAGGGAAAAATCTGCAAAGAGTACAAGTAGAGTTGGTTAAATACGCACATAGAATGCACCAATATTTAGAGTACAAGTAGAGTTGGTTAAATATATACATGTACAATGCACCAATACTTTATTCTCTTCAAAACCCCACAAACCTAAAACAACAAAGAATGTATGTATTTACCACCATGGTCCATGGCACCTGTGGGATCCTGGTGTAGGTCATTGTCATGTAGATGATCAGAAAGAAGACGGTGAGAACCCAGTAAAACACAGCCACAAACATCACCCAGCCAAAGGCTGGGTATAGAAAGTATTCTGTTCCAGCGATCAGGGTCCACACCAGCAGCCCCAATACCTGCAAAAGTTATGGAGAAGAAATAAAACTGTTACATAGTTCTACACCTCATACACTCGTTCAAGGTCAAGGAGTGACATCACTTGAACACCACACCCACATGAACGCTGAATTGAGATGCTGCGCTGGCAAAATACTGAGCTAACAAAAAAGAACATATAAAACTGGTTTAACTGTGGCAGAGTATCACAAAGGGAAAGGCATCTTATCTGTTGATTTAACTCAATTTGGAGCCATCCTTGCAGTGGTTTTACAGCTAGCTCCCAAAAGGATTGATTATTGTAGCTTGCTGTTGTACATGAAGGCAAATACTGCTGTTTTGCTGCCGGCAAAGTCACTTTAGAAACAACAGCCTGTGAAAGACCACGGGGATCTTCAGGTTCTGTCTGCCACAGTCACAGGTAACTTACCAGCTGAGGTCCAGCTCAGGATGGTCCACACCTGCTCTGTGGATTGGCAGGCACCACAGACACAGAACAACTCCTAGATCTTACTGCGAAAGGTTGTAGTAAAATATCAGCACCACTACAACATGTAACTGTAACTGGAGAAGAGCAAGTCAGATTGGGAATGTCATTATATTCCACAGTTCTTAAAACATCTCCCAAGTGACTTGACCCTAAGTAGCAAACAAGGATGCACACTCAAGCAAATTCCTCAAGCAAATCAGTCTGGGGGGAAAATCCTCCCTCCTGATGTGGCAATCTGTTCAGATTTAAGACACCAAGAAATACGTGAACCAGAGGTCTAAACATACTCTCCAGTTCTCTCCTGTGTTAGGTGATCTCCAAGGCATTAAAAGGAATGAGGAGCAAGCGAAACCTAAGTCAAATCATCTGCAACAGGAAAAAAAGTGTGTTTTTCAAGTTGTCCTGAAATAAGAAAAAGCTTAACCACAAAAAGAAAGTGATATTTTATACCTTAAAAACATGCAAATAAATAAAAAGCCCACCCCACACACTTTACTAGAGTCAGATGTGAGAAGTAAAATTCAAGCTTTACCCAGGCTTATCTCTTTCTGCTATCTGGACTATGGTGAAATTTCCTAGCAATAAGAAATGCAAGGATTACAAAATTAAAGCAAATAGCAACACATTTAACACATAATAGCCACAGCTGGACAGTCCAAAGAACCTTCTACCCCAGTATTCTATCTTCAGCAGCATTTAGTACCAGACATCTGAGGATATACATTAAAGAACAGACCATGCAACAGTATTATTTTCTAGGACTACCTTCCTCAGCTCTCAGGACTGTGCAGTGAAGGGACTTCCCAAGCTTGTGGTGATGTCTTTGTAATCAACAGACCCTGACAGCAGATGACAGTTTTCCTGCAGCTTCATTTGCACAAGAGCTGATCCTATTCCCATGCAAACTGCTGGCCATGGTCACATTTACTCCTCTATTGCAGAATTGAACATACCTATAAAGTTTAGAGATTTCACACTTACAAGACAAAACTATACTGTTAAGTTTCTTGTAATTGGTCCTCCTACCACCTGGCACCTGTTTATTTTGTCCACAATTCATCCTCCCACTTGCCACACAAACTTAATTCAGCCCTCTATTGTGTATTGAGAGTAGATTTCATATATATTATTTGTACATTCATCTGCATTGTCCATACATAGACACACTGCACAAATGTCTGTTTTACGGTTTGTTTTGAGTTTTCTTTCTCTCTTTACAGAGAAAGCATATAGGAAGTCTGTTTAAGAGCATTTTCCCCCCACCGTTTTCACCAATCCACCAATTTCTCTTCAGTAGGAAACTCTAGAACCGGCTCAGACTGGGATTAAAATTCCTGCTTTTCACAGCATACCAGGGGAGGGCAGCATTGCCTCGTAACAACAGTTCAAATAGTGTTAAGTGGATCCTTTAAAACACACTGTTTTCAGTGCAAAGTTACCGGTTCACCAATGCTTCCCATAGTTCATTTTAATTCTACTTCCAACAACATTTTACTAATAGTAGCAATCCAGTTAATAGCACCTCAAATTGAATGAACTACCCACAATCAGACAAAAACCAACTCAATTTTAGTCTAACAAGTGTTGTAAGGCTAAACAATTTTGATAGACTGTTTAGCTAACAAAATGCCATTTTCTTAAGATACACAGCAGTTTTGCATTACACTCATCCACTTTAATCCCAACTTAAATTCATCATCCAGAAATTATACTGATAAACAATTGATCTCGTGCTTGACAAACAAATATTAAAGGCAGATTTATCCTAGATACTAGTATCTTATAAAATACCAAGAACAGAAATTTCAAAGGTGAGAAAAAGGAATTAAACACCATTAAATACTCTGCTTATAAGTGTTGGTTTTTAGAACAGTTTTAAATATAGAAGTAGATTTTTCAAGAAATGCACAAGACTACGAAAAGTTTTTACTACTAACTGCAATAAGTTTGATAAGAACCTCATTTATATAATGAATTATTATTCAAAAGAGCAAAATCTTCACAAGCAGCAAATTATTAAAATTAAAAAGGAAAACTCTGAGATTACATGAGATCACTAATCTTACATTACTACACACTACAGCTGGCAAGACATTCCCTAGAGCATGAGTATTCATGCTGGGACCTGTTTTTTCCAGTAGTATTCTAACCTGGAGTTTTCACCCCTCTTTCAAGATCATTTTAATATTTAGGTGGCTGTACACCTCAGATGTATTCCAAAGAATTCCTTTTGATCCATGTTTTTAGCTAGCTTGTATCAATGGCAGAACAACTCACCCAGGCAATTGAGATGCACCACAGATTCTACAGATTTATATTCTTAACTGGTTCCTGCATCGTAACTTTGACGGGTTGCATATTAGAGCACATTTGACATTTTCACTTAGATCCAGATACTCTCACAGCATATTACTGGAGCTGACAGGCTAAAATAATATTTCAGATTTCTTGATTAGACCTGAAAAGGTCAGATCAGCTCATGGTCAACAATTCACTCCGTGTAGTTAAATGATATGGCAAATGGTTTCATTGCATATGTAAACATACGCAATAAATTGATTTAAAGTTCACGCTGGCCGTCAGCATCTACAAAATACCTGAGGAGCCAAAGGAATACAGACATCTAGACAAGCCTTCTGTGATTAGCCTGTATTCTCAGCATGTTAAATACTGAGATTGCTTCTGTGGTGTTAAACAGCTGCCTCGTAATTTTCTGACTGTCCCTTACACGACAGCTTTGCTGTTCAACAGATCAGTACAAACTGGGTGACACTCCTGTATCTGCTGGAGCTGAGAATGCCACTTCTCCTACTGGTCTGGTGTCACACCTCCCCACTGGGAAAAACTGGACTACACTCAAATGTCATCTCGATGAGCATCCAGGGTACAGAATCTGGCAAGTGAGTGACAGGTAAACAATACTGGAAAGCAAAGATCAGCAACAGCAGGGGGGTGCCTGCAGTAATTCAGCGAGCACAGACAGTGCACAGCCACCTTCACTGCTCCAAGTCAGCTCAAAGGGAGAAAGCTCCACCCAGGAAGTGGGAAAGGCCTGTCCTTTATTTATTATAACCAGGTAGGCTAGAGTGTATTAGTAATAGCTAAGTACTTGATTTTAATTTATGAGCAAGTCAGAATATGCTTAATTAGAATTACAGGAACATACTACCATGCTGGAAGAAATGGGCCCAGGAAAGGGGGAGGGAAAGGCATCAAGAAGGCCCAAGAAAATAATGCATGTGGTAATGGATGAGAGGGGATGCTGGGTCCTAAGACTGTAAGGGCTCCACCAACCGGGTCCAGTCTTTCAAGTTAGATGGGAATAGGGATTTCAGTGCAAGATAAAGGAAAGCAGTTTTCTGTTGTTTATGGCAGGTTCTGATTTCAACTCAGACATTTATTTTGTGGTCATTTGGCTGCTGCTTGATCAGGTACCTCCATTACTAAAATGCATTAATATGTCAAATGCACTAATGCCTACTTCAGCAGCTGGCAGACACCATAAGAAGGAAGAAACTTGGTAGCAAAGTCCAATATTATTGAGTGTGCAGATTTAAAACTAGATGCTTAATTATATATTCAAACCCTTAAATAAGTGCCATAATTCTTCTGCAGTGTTGAGAACTTCAAAAGTATCAGATTATTTAGTCACTTAAAAAAAAAAAAAAGCCTTTGTTGTTAGTTCATGAGACACATCTTTGCTGGTGTCAGAAGTTAGCAGATATAAAAGCAGTTGTGAGCTTGAATCTGTGTATCCAGTTTTACTTTTTAAAGCAGCTTAAGAACTGCCAAAGAAAATTTGTACTTGCAACCTGCGTTTAAAAACGCTACGATGTAACAACTCCTCTCCATTGCTGGCAGGGTTTGGAATTTTCCAGTATTTCTCCTGAGTGGTTAACTCAGCAAAAAGGTTAAAAATGTATATACGTCCTTTCCACAATAAAAGAAGTCTCATTGTAGCAGAGGCGACATGAAGAAAAACCCGATGCTCATCAATTAAAAAAAAAACAACAAAAAAACCAAAACAGAACAAAGCCACACACACACACACACATATATATATATATATATGCCAGAAGCTTTTCCTATCCTTTATCCAAGAGATGTTTCCTGCGACCATAAGCACTGCAGGATTTATATGCAGTTGCTGCTGGCACAGACGACAAGGATGGCAGATGGATACTAAAAGAGTTGTACATTTGCAGCACGAATTGCCTCCTGTATGCAAAGCCACCCAAATGTGGACAGCATCCAGCAAGGAGAAAGACATCTTGCCTCTTCCTCCTAGCAAAGGAGATTTATGACTAGAAGACAGAGAGACCGTTCTAAGTTATTGCACATCATAATTTCATTACTAAATCACAAGTTAGGAGCTACCTTAGCAGCAGCACAAGCAGCCTGTGAATGTCTCAACCTCCATCCTTTTCTCCCTTGGTTACCTATCAGGGTGGTGGTGCTGGTGTGGTTTTTAAGGAGGAGAAAAAAAAGAGGGAGGAAAAGAGAATTCTCCCTCTACTGCTCCTGTAAAAC